GTGTGTGTGTGTGTGTGTGTGTGTGTGAGCTTTGTTATAGGAGCCGCATTTTTTTGTTTTTCCATCAGATTCACTATGATGGATGGAGTCACATCTATGACGAGTGGATGGACTCGGATCACCCTGACATCCACCCAGCAGGCTGGTGTGAGGCCACCGGTCACCCGCTCAAACCCCCACCACAGGACGCCAAACCACAGCAGACACATGGTAAAATGTAAATGTTGGAAGAAGTGAATTAAGTGACTACACCATAGTGCTGGTTAATACATCTCAGCATATCAAGGCAATCAATCCCCAGATGCCATTCAATATGCCCTCGAGTGGTTGTGAGTAGAATAGTTGTGACATTTGAGCAATCTGATGTTACAGAAAAAATGATAACAGCATACACTTGTGTCATGATGTTTAAAAGACAAGACCAAAAATGTTTAAAAAAATCATCAGGGTTGTTGTGTATGTCTGTTTATCATATCTCTTCACTTAGGTGTGAGGGAGCCTCCCACTCTGCCCCAGTCAACTTACCCTCCTTCTGTTCCCTGCAAGCCCATCAGCCACACAAGAACCAACAAGTACAACTTTCACAACAGGTGAACTCATTCTCTTGATTCATTTTAAAGATGCTGGTTTTCATAATGTGCAGGTTCTTATGTCAAAAGCAGCACATTTCACTAAACGGACACTATCCTTTGAAACAGGAAGTGTCCAACCCCGGGTTGTGACGGTTCAGGTCACGTGACTGGTCGCTTCACGGCACATCACTGTGTTTCGGGCTGCCCATTAGCTGAGCGCAACCAAGGCAGACTCAAGGTGGAGCTATCAGACTCTGAGAGCAAGAGGAGTCTCTTTTTTGGCCAGAGAACCAAGAAGACACATTATCGTGGCAGGTAAAGGTGTGTGGGTGTGTGGGTGTGAGTTTGCATGAACCTTTACTTTTATTTTATTTTTCTTGACCTTTTTTCCCAGGATTGGACGTCCACCCAAATATAGGAAGAACCAGCAGAGAGACTATCAGAGTAAGTTTAAAGTTTATAATTTTTATATAGTAGTTTGTATGAACAAAAGTCTTGCGTCTGGTTAATTTTTTATGCTTCATTCCATAATAAATTTGTTCATTGTATTTAATTGTACTTCTTTGGTATTATTTTGTTTCCTACATTTTCTACTCTGCTGCATTTTAATTTTAGTGCTTGTATTCCTTAGTTTTAGTTGTTTCAGTCTAGTAACAAGTCATAAATTAAATAGACAATAAGATAAAATTTTGGAGTAAAATGCTACAATATATCACAGGGTATTGCGGAATGTTATGAATTGGGTACAGCACTTGATATATATGGATCATATAATCAAAGAACATAATCTGGTTTGTGTTTTGATCATCAGACATTACATCTGAGTGTGTCTATCCATCGTTGTTTGTGTCGGCTCTGAGCGGTCAGTCAGACCGTACTCTGTCTCTGTGCTGGGAACAACACTGTAAATTGCTACCTGGCGTACTGGGCATTCCCGCAAGTCAGGTGGCGGCTTGGAGTGTGGAGGAGGTGAGTTAATGATTTTTAATTTCTTGTCTTGAATATTACTTTGACTATTTCGAGGAACTAATGTGATCTTTTTTTGTGTCATCTACTCCAGGTCTTCAACTTTGTGCATAATCTAATTGGCTGCGAGGACCAGGCCCGTCTCTTTAAAGACGAGGTATGATGCCCACATCTGTCTGCCTGAACAACATTACAGTGGAACCTCTAAATCAGAATGTCCCATAGGTCACACTGCAGTTTACTACTTAAGCTTCTGACCTTGGATCCTATTTTCATTCCCAGCAGAAGTCTAGCGCAAGGCACATTCTGACTGTGTGCATGGGTGGCGTTTTATTTCTTTTTATACTTTACTTGACTTTGCACAGGATGAATTTGGCATACTGGGGCATTTGGGCCTTTGTGTGTTAACTAATAAAGTAATAAGTAGTTGTAATGTGACATTAACTGAACATTACACCACTCATCAGCACAAAAACAAATCTGCACTCATTCTGGCACAGGGGTAGGGAACTGCGGTTCCTCGATAGCCATATCCTGCCTATTTTAGATCTCTCTCTACTCCAAAACACATGATTCAATTGGTCATGATTGTTTCAGGCTTCCACACAGCTTGCTGATGAACTGATTATTATTATTATAGTTCCCTACCCCTGATCTGGCAACTCTACAAAACCTCTCAGACATAACATGCCTTGAGGTAGGAGGAGAAAAAAAAGAGAGGCTGCAGGAGTGAGGCAGCTAATCGGCCTGTCTTTTATTGCACTGACTTGCCTTTCAATTGGAGTTCACTGACATTCCTGCTCCCAGGCATGATTGAAAAACCTCTCTTGCTTATTGGTAGGTAGATTTCATATCCTAAGTTGTGTTGACTGCTTGTTTGTGTGCACCATTCCCACTTCAACTCCATCCCACGGCAGATGATTGACGGCGAGGCCTTTCTACTACTGACTCAGGCCGACATCGTGAAGATCATGAGCATCAAACTCGGCCCCGCCCTCAAGATTTACAACGCCATCCTCATGTTCAAGAGCACGGATGAAGCTCTCAAATGACTCCGTTAGGGTGGGATTATCGGTGCAATCAGTCATCACGTGCCAAATTCATTGTGCAAGGCAAAAACTCCTTGTCTGAGCCCTTTTTGTGTTTCGTGTCCTGTGCCCATCAGATGGTGTGGTGTGGTGTACACGTTGAAGTAAAGGACAATTTAGGAAGGATCTGACAGACACAAAATGGATACCAGGGTGAGTTAGGGAACATCATAACATTTTAGTTGAAGGAATAGTTGCATCATTCTACTGGTACTTGCCCAAAAATTGAGTTCTTTTTGCAATCGGTAACATATCAGTGACAAAATACTGTAACAAATTGTAATTGAAAATGAAAAACATACATATGTATTCCAGCAGCAAGATCAGATATATTTCAATTAGTTGGTTGAGTCCATAACCCATACTGGAATAGCAACAGTGCTTAGCACACACCAACAGAGGTTGCCATTTACCTTTACATACATTGAAAATGGCCGACAAGAAACTGTTTAACATATCAACCACACTCATGAATTCATGAAATGCACCCACACCAACCTTGCCCAACACACTCAAAATGCAAGCAGGAACAAAACAAAGTAAATAACAACATTTGTGTGGAGTGTATTGTAAAAAATAATAACACCAATTTCAAGGACAATTGCATATCATTGAGTGATTTGGCTAACTAAACATTGTCATGAAATTCTCATGAGCAAAAAATACAGGATAGAAAAAGAAAAGAAAACTCATGGGTAAAGTTCTGCAATATGAAGTCGATACATTTCCCCAAATAGTACATTTGTTTATAATTTAAAATACATGAGAAGAGGACCTTAAAAAACTTAAATGCATATTAAATCACTCTAGCACTATTGCGTGAAAAAAATAAATTTGATTATTTTCCAAAAATCGCTCAGCCCTTATTTTAATCAACTATACATTTACAACATCATGTAGGCTGTTTTCTCAAATTTTAAACCAAACATATTTATTCATTTTATTTATTAAATTCTTCCTTTAAGTGTAAATTCAACATGCACTCTTCACATCTTTCTGTCTTTTCCAGTTGAATGATTCCCATTCCCAACTAAAAAAAATCTGTGCGCCCGAAACTTTAGTCAGGTTGTCAGTGTTATTGAATAGAAAATCTTTTTCAGCGTTTTTTTTTTTTTAAATTGAAATGTGACATCCGCTGATCAGCAGCATAAAACTGCAGAGAACTTGAATTTCTAAAACGCACAACCATTATTTAAGTCGGGGATTCCCTCGTTTACAAAAGCACAATCAGTGTTCTTAGCGATTTGGTTGACATAGTTACCAACTTTTTCACTGCTGTAGCAACTCGTAAAAAAAACAAAAAGTGACTCGTGAGTTTAATTTTTGTCAGTGTTCCCTGTACCCCAATTTGAGAAGCACTGACTTACCCGTATGTGCTGATCACATTTCTGCTGGTTATCAGTGTAAAGGAGTTACTAGGAAAAGTAATATTGAAGAAATCTACATTCAAAACAACAGTGACATGGCAGCTTGAGTAAATACCATTTGTTAAAATTGAATTCTGAGAAAAGCAACATGACGTTTAAATGCAGTGTAAAAATGAGGTGTGTGGACAGTGAGTAAAAGACATAATGCAGTAAACTAGGCCGGCCATTGAAGCTCTTTGAAGCTTCTTTTCTGTGCAATAATAATAATGATAACAATGAAAAGCTATTTCTGTATTATAATCGGAAAAAAAACCAAGAATCATTCTCTGAGCTCTAACTGAAAGTTTGTGACTGATGTATTTTTCAGGTTTTCTGTAGTATTTGCCTTCTTTTATTGTGTTTTGTGCCTGAAATGTGTCTGACTCTTGAGTTATCATTTTTGAAAAAAAAAGAACAATTATAGAAGCTTAGTTATGATGCAGAATCTAAGTGACAGAACTTTTTTGACATTAATTTTATGCAACAAAATGTATTTGTGAATGCATCAGCATTGGAGCACAACTGTGAACCCCAAATGGGATTAGAGTGTTAAAATCACTATAAACAAGTTTACCTTAATAGTGTGTTCTTTGACAGGATTACACTGGTGTCATTGTCATCATTGGATTTTGTGCATTATTTCATTGGAATGTTTTAAGGGCTCTTGGCTTTGTGTCTCTCTGGTGTGTGTGTGTGTGTGTGTGTGTGTGTGTGTGTGTGTGTGTGTGTGTGTGTGTGTGTGTGTGTGTGTGTGTGTGTGTGCGCTAAGATGGTGTTGAACCACAAATGTCATTCAAATAAATGTTCAAAGTTGACTATCCCCCCCACCCTTTTTTTTTGGCGGGGGGGGGGGGCTCGCAATTATGCATGCATGCCCACATAATGAGTGAAATGTATGCTGTGTCCTTCACTATTGACTATAAACGTACTTTGCTTGGAGCATATCCCCTATTGACCGTAATGTCATCAACACACGGATGTGTTGGTGCTTCTCGTCTCGCTACATTAGCTTTAGCCGCCATATGTAAGCGTGCAGAAAGTAGATGCTCATGTGCTCTCATGTGAAGTAATATGACTGTATTTTATCTGTTTGGGTTTTTTAAACAAAAATAGTAGCCGGTAATGATGTTCCATAATTCTTCTCACTTCTTTTTGTGAAGGAGAAGTGAACCACACAAGTCCAAAGCATTTGTCACACTCAATGCCGTTTGTTAGTATGAGAGCAGGGAAAAGACATCCACAGTTCTTGTGAGTGTGAGCGACACCAGTTTTTAACAATTTAACTTTTTTTTTTTTTTTTAATGTGAGTGATAGAACAATTTATTGCGCATGCCACAAACACAATGGTAACACTCATATGTCTCCTAACCCAAATGAGCGTTGTAAAAGAAAAATATATCTTATTTGGTAACACACAATTATTAGTGAAAAGAAAACTAGCAAAACAACTAAAATTGAAAATCAAAATTTGCTTTGAAAAAACAATAACTGAATCTACATTTTGTTTACAAAACTAACCAAACTAGCAGGAATGCTAATTGTTGTGAAAATGTCCTTCATTTTCATCTTTGTCGTGACCTTAATGGTTTTATTACAAATGTATTTATTTCAGTATTACTGTACAGTAGGGTGGTCCACATTTTCATGGCAAAAAAAAAAGTTTGTCGGATTCGTCGGGCCGGGTCGGAATTCTTGTCGATACTATGGTACAAGGTTCTGTGCAAAATTTCATTCCGATCTGAT